GCTGATCAAGGAAACGTCCGGCCCAGACCCCCCCAGACCCCCCATCCCCGGTACCGGGGGGCTGTCGGAAGCACCAGAGGGGCGCGAGGCCGCAGGCGAGGGGCAGCAGCAGCAGCAGCACCAGCGACCCCAACTTCACGGCCAGCCCGGGCGGGGGCTGCGAGGCCGCCCCGGGGCTCCAGGCCAGCGAGGCTCCGGTGCCGGTGTCCATCGTGATCCCGGAGCTCAGCGCCCGCCGCCGGGGAAGCTCCGAGCCGCGCTGCGCATCCCCGGCGAGCGGGGCTGGAACGGGACGGGCCGCTCAGAGCCGCCCCCCCGCCGGTCCCGGTGACTCACCCGGCACCGACCCCCCCCCGCCCGGGGGCCCCGGGACACGGGAGGGACCGGAGGGGGAACAAGGACGGGAATCGAGGACCGGGATGGGGAACTTGGGCAGCACAGAGCGCGTTAGGGGCCAAGGACCGCGACCGGGGACCAGGACCGCAATCGGGATCGTGAACCGGGACCGGGACCGCGATCAAGAACCGGGATTGCGAAGCGGGACCGAGGAACGGGACCGAGCGGGAACCGGGAAATAAGGAGCGGGAGTCAAGGATCGGCTTTTCCGGGACTAGGATCGGAACCGGGGCCGAGGACAGGGTCAGGGTCGGGGACGGGGACGGGACCCCCGCACTCACCGCCCGCCGCATCCCAACCGCGTCCCGGGAACTCCGGGGGGCGGCGCCGCCTCCGCCGGCCCAGCCAATGGTGCCGCGGAATCCCCGCTGGCGTCACTGATTGACGTGCGGCTCAGCCAATGGAAAGAGAGCGGAACCCGCGCGGCCCCGCGGCCCCGGGAGCGCGCACGCGTCCGCCGGGCCGGGCGGGGCGGGGGAATCCTGCCGGTGCCCGCCGTACCGCTCCCTGGCCCCCGGTACCGGCTGGATCTCCCCGTTCCTGCACTCCCGGACCCCGTTACCGGGGGCTTCCCCCCGTTCCTCCACCCCGAACTCCGTTACCGGGGGCGCTGGGGTCACCGGCTCCCGTACAGAGCCACCGGAGCCGCCCCAGGCTCGGCCCCGTTCTCGGTTCCCCCCGCGAGACCCTCCCGGTACCGGGGCAGCCGCACCCCCCCGGTGCCCCCGGTGTCCCGGTAGGGCGGCCGGAGCCCCGAGCCCCGCTGGGGGAGGGACGATCCCGGCCCTTCCCGGCACGGGGCGGAACTTGGCTGGATTCCCCGGGATCCCGGAGATCCTGGTGCCCAGCGCCGGCACCGGGCGGAGGCGGCGGCGCCACCGGGGACCGGGGAACCCCGAGGAGGGGGCGCAGGGGGTTCATCCCCGGGGGTCGGAGCTCGAGGGATCCCGCGGGGGGGTCCCCAGGGAGCCCCAATGGAGGCACCGGAGCTCCCGGAGCCGGACGGGCTCTTCCCGGATCCCGCCTCGCTCCCGGTGCCGGTGCTGAGCTTCCAGACCTTGACGCTCCCGGAGGATGATGTGAGTGGGGGTGGGAGGGGCGCGGGACCCCCACGGGGACACCGGGATGTCCCGGGGGTCCCGTCACGGTATCCCCGCAGGGCAGCGGAGCCGAGGAGCTGCTGGGGCTGACGGTGAACCCCGACATCGCCTGCGGCCTCGGCACCGGCCCGGAGCCCCCCCGGCCCGAGGGGACCCCCCCGGTGCTGCTAGAGGTGGTCTGCGACCTCAGCACGCCCCTGCTCCCCTCGCTGCTCCCCGGCATCCAGCTGGCCCCGACCCAGGTGCGTGCGGGGACACGGGGGTTCGGGGGGACCGGGGGGGGACAGCAGTGACCCCTCCGTGCTCCAGGCCGAGGAGCGGCTCCTAAAAAAGGTGCGGAGAAAGATCCGGAACAAGCAGTCGGCGCAGGACAGCCGGCGGAGGAAGAAGGAATACCTGGACGAGCTGGAGAGCAGGTGGGGCCGGTGTTCCCGTTATCCCGACCCTCCGGTTATCCCGGTGTGTCCCGGTCACCGTCCCTGTCTCTGCCCGGGCAGGGCGGCTGCGTGCTCGGCACTGAACCAGGAGCTGCGGAAAAAGGTCCAGGAGCTGGAGACGAGCAACGGGTGAGCGCGGGGAGCTCCGGGATGGGCACGGAACCGGGAAGGGGCACCGGGAAGGGGGCAGCGGGAGGGGCACGGAGCTGAGCCCCGTTCCCGCAGGTCTCTCCTGCGGCAGCTCCAGGCGCTGATCAAGGAAACGTCCGGCAAGCCCGCGCAGACCGGCACCTGTGTCCTGGTACGGCCCCTCGGGGACCCTCCCGGGAGCCCCCCGGGAGCCGCTCCGGGGCTCACGGCTCCCGTTCCTCCCGCAGATCCTCTTCCTGTCGCTGGGGCTGATCCTGCTCCCCAGCTCCAGCCCGTTCCGCCGGGGCGGCAGCCGGGACGGCCTCGGACCCACCGGAGGTAACGGGAGCACCGGGAGGGGGGGGTGGGGACAGCCCCCCCCCGCCGCAGCGCCGCCACGGCTGTCCCTGTTCCCGCAGTGATCTCCAGGAACATCCTGGCGCGGCGGGAGCCGGGAGCGGCCGCAGAATCCCCGTTCCCCCGGTGGATACCGGGGCCAGAGCCGGGAGCCGGGGTGGAGGACGGAGCCGGGGGGGGGCCCGGGGATGGGATTCCCACCCCCCCCAGGGATCCAGGCAGCAATTCCTCCAGGCAGGACATGGGGACAGGGACACGGGGACATGGGGATGAGATGTGAGGGGGGGTCCTCAGGGTGGGAATAAATCCAGAATAAATCCACGTTCTGTTTCCACCCTCTGGAATGTCGGAGGGGGCGGGAATGGGGAACATTCCAGTGCTGCTGCAGGCACATGGATCAGGATTTATCCCACATTCACTCCTGGGGGCTTCCCAGGGACCCCCAGCGCGCTCCCAGGGTGGATCCCAGTGCTGGAGGAAACAGAGATCCCCCCCAGGAAACAAACACAGCATCACTCCAGGAACGATGAGCAGGATTTATTCCACATCCCTCTCCTGGAGGATGCCCAGGATGATCCCAGAGCAGATCCCAGTGCTGGGGGGGAACACGGGAATTGCCCCCAAGGGACGAACCCAGCGTCACTGCTGGGATTAATTCCACATCCCGCTCCGGGCCATGCCCTGGCTGCTCTCCCAAGGCACATCCCAGCGGGACTCCAGCTCCGGGCAGCGAGGCAGGGGCTGCCTCTCCTCGCAATTCCCGGCTCCCAGCCCTCGGGAGCCTCTGGCTAGATGGACTCGATCTGTTTGCGGACCTTCTCCAGCGCCCGCCGGTCCAGCACGCGCTGCCGCAGCACCACGAGCGCCGCCGCCGCCGCCGCCACGCCCAGAGCGGAGCCCACGAAGCGCCAGAAGCGCCGCGCCTCCAGCGCGGCCGAGCGGCAGCTGCGGGGCCCGGCCCGGGTGATGCCCCAGCCCCGGCAACTCCCGGCCCCATCCCCGGCTCCATCCCGGGCAACTCCCGGCTCCATCCCCGGCAACTCCCGGCTCCATCCCCGGGCAACTCCCGGCTCCATCCCCGGCCCAACTCCCGGCCCCATCCCCGGGCAACTCCCGGCCCTATCCCCGGCTCCATCCCGGGCAACTCCCGGCTCCATCCCCGGGCAACTCCCGGCCCCATCCCCGGGCAACTCCCGGCCCCATCCCCGGCTCCATCCCCGGGCAACTCCCGGCTCCATCCCCGGCTCCATCCCCGGCCCAATTCCCGCCCCCATCCCGGGCAACTCCCGGCCCCATCCCCTGGGAATTCCCGGCCCCATCCCGGGCAACTCCCGGCCCCGATGGAATTCCCAGCCCAGATCCCCTGGGAACGACCAGCCCCAATCTACAGGAATTCCCAGCCCCGACTCCCTGTTAATTCCCAGCCCTGATCCCTCCAGAATTCCCAGCTCCAATCCCCCAGGAGTTCCCGGCCCTGATCCCCCGTTAATTCCCAGCCCCGATCCCCGGGAGTTCCTGGCCCCCATGCCCCGGGAATTCCCAGCTCCAATCCCGCAGGAATTCCCAGCCCCGCTCCCCCGGGAACTCCTGGCTCCAATCCCCCGTTAATTCCCAGCCCCGATTCCCCGTTAATTCCCAACTCCAATCCCCCGTTAATTCCCGGCCCCACCTCTTGTACTCATCCCGGTGGGACGAGGCGCAGTTGATCTTCTCGATGAAGCCGGTGGGGCCGCAGGCCGGGATCGTTTTCTGCACGGAGGGCTCGGTCACGGAGAGACCCCCGGGACAACCGGGGACCCCGAGCCCCGCAGCCGCCCGGGGGAGCCGCACTCACCATCTCGAAGCCGGAGCACCGCGTGCACTCCTGGGCAACCACGAACTGCTCCACCCGCCAGCACGGCGTGGCCACCGCGGGGCTCGCTGCGGGGGGAGCGCGTTACCGGGACCGGCCGGGAGCGCCCGGCACCGGACAGAGCCCGGACCGGACCAAGAGCCCGCCGCCGGACAGACCGCTCCGTCTCCAGCCTCCCAGCCCCGGATCTATCCCGCTCCGAGCTCCCGGGATCAGACCGAGCCTCCCAGCCCCGGATCTATCCCGCTCCGAGCTCCCGGGATCAGACCGAGCCTCCCAGCCCCGGATCTATCCCGGTCCGAGTCCCCGGGATCAGACCGAGCCCCCCGGTCCGAGCCCCCGGCCCCGGTCCGAGCTCCCGGCACCGTCCCAAACGCCGGCCCGGCCCTGCTCACCGGGCCGCTCCTCGCTTGCCGCTGCCGCCGCCGCCGCCGGGCTGTGGGCACAGAGGAGCTGCCGTGAGGGCCCGCACCGGGCCCGGCCCTCCCACTCCCGGTGTCCCCCGGTCCCCGCTCACCGCAGCCAGTCCGGTACGGCGCTCAGCACCGCCAGCAGCACCGCGAGGGCGCCGGGCCCCATCGGGGCGCCGGGATCGGCGGGAAAACCCCAGGAACCCCCGCGATCTTCCGGGAGCTACCGGGAACTACCGGGCCCGGCCCCGCCGCGACAGCGGCGCCGCCATGTTGGAACTGCCGGGGGTGCCGGGAGGGGAAGGGCGGGGCCTGGCGGAGGCGCCGGGCTCAGCCAATGGGAGAGAGGGGCGTGGCTAGAAGGCCATGAAGAGGCGTGGCTTGACCATAACGGGCACAACTTATTTAGTTAGGGGCGTGGTTTTCAGTTTAATTAGGGGCGTGGATTTGCGCACGGTCTGGGGCGTGGCTATGAGAGTGGGCGTGGTATTAATCCAAGTTTGGCGTTGTGGGCGTGGCTTGGGCGCGGCCTCGCCGCCGCTCGTCCCGGTCCGGGTCCCGGTCCCGGTTCCGATCCCCGTCCCGTCTCCGATCCCGATCGCAATCCTGATCCCGGTCCCGATCCCGGTTCCGACCCCGTTCCCCCTCTCCAAACCCCATCAAAGACACTCCGGAGCCGGGACAAGGCACAGCGGGGCTTTATGGCACAAGGAGAGAGGGGGGCAGCCCCAAATCCCCCCAGATTCCCCCCCAGATCCCTCCGGAGAGGCGCCTGCGCTGCCCCGGGGGTCTCGGGGAGCCCCTACCCCAGGGAGCATCTCCCGCCGGCCTTCCGGGGGGGCCCGGGCTCCAGCAGGGCTCTGCTGCTGCTGCCGGGGGGCTGCGGGGAGAGGGGGGGTCAGGGGGGCGCAGGGGGTCCCTGGCCTGCCCCCCACCCCCCCAAATGCCGGCCCCACTCACGGCTTTGCGGAAGGATTTGTGCAGGATGTCCCGCGCCAGCGTGCGGAAAGCCTGGGGGGACCACGGGGGGCTGCTCAGAGGGGGGGCAGTGCCCGGGGACCCCCCCCCCGGGAGGAGGGAGGGACCCCCCTGTCCCGGCAAACGCGGGGGTGCAGCCCCAGGGACCCCCCCTCACCTCCTCCACGTTCTGGCTGGACTTGGCGCTGGTCTCGAAGAAGCGAATCCCGTGTTCCTTGGCCAGCTGAGCGACCGCGACCCCCCGTGAGCGGAATCCCCCCACCCACCTCCTTGATGCTTTTCATCCAGTTCTGGATGTTCTCGAAGGATTTCTCGTCCGTGATGTCGTACACCAGGACGATGCCCTGGGGGGGATCGGGGGTCAGGAAAGGTCGGGACCCCCTGCCCGCGGTTTTGGGGTGGGGTCCTGGCCCCCGGGGCCCCCCGCCCAGGGCTGCAGCCCCCTCCCCGTACCACGGCTCCGCGGTAATAGGCCGTGGTGATGGTTTTGAAGCGCTCCTGTCCCGCCGTGTCCCTGCGGAAACGGGGCGGTTTTGGGGATTTCGGGGGGATTTTTGGGGGGGATTTGGGGGTCTCCTCCCCCTCCCTGAGCACTCCCCCCGACTCACCAGACCTGCAGCTTGATCTTCTTCCCATCGATATCCACAGTGCGGATCTTGAAGTCGATCCCTGGGGGAAAGGGAGGGGGGCACTGGGAGCAGAACCGGCCCCCTCCCGGTGCTCCCGGTGCTCCCGGTGACCATCTGGCTCCCCGGGAAAGGCGGGGCGGCGAAATCCGGGAGGGGAATCCCGGGGCATTCCGGGATGGAGGTTCCCGGGAAGAACCGGGCTGCTCCCGGTGGGGGGTTCTGGTGAGTTCCAGGGTGGGGGTCCCGGGGATTTTGGGTATGGGGGTCCCGGTGAATCCCGGAATGGGGGTCCCGGGGCAGAGGGGTGTGGGAGGGGTCCCGGGACGATTTTGGAGAGGGGGGGTCCCGGTGAATCCCGGCTGGGGGATCCCGGAGGGGTCCCAGGATGGGATTCCCAGCGGGGGGGTCCCGGACAATCCCGGTGGGTCCCGTTGGGAGGTCCCGGTGAATCCCGGAGGTTCCCATTTGGGGAGGGTCCCACTGTGGGGGCGGGTCCCGGTTTGGGGGGTGCCGGTGAATCCCGGTGGGTCCCCGTTGGGGGGGTCCCGGGGGGGGTCCCACTCACCGATGGTGGAGATGTAGGTGCTGCTGAAGTTGTCCTCGGCGAAGCGGATGACGAGGCAAGTCTTGCCCACGCCGCTGTCCCCGATCAGCAGCAGCTTGAAGAGGTGGTCGTAGGCCTTGGCCATGGCCCCCGCCACCGCCCGCCGCCACCGGGACCGGCCCGGCCCCCCCGGGCGGGGCCTGGCTGCGGCCCCGCCCCCCCGCCGTGACGCCACGCCCATATGACGTCACCGCATTGATAGCGTGACGTCACGCTTTTGATATGCCACTCCCAAAATGGCGCGAGCGCCACCCTCCCGGGATGGCGGCCGTTCAGGCGACCTTCCCAAAATGGCAGAGGCGGGACGGCCTCCCCAAGATGGCGGCAACGTAGGGACCTTCTCAAAGTGGCGGAAACACAACCGACCGTACCGACAATGAGGCACCTCCCCAAATTCCCACAGCTGAAACGCCCGCCCCAAGTGGCGGCAATGAGAGGGGCTTTCCTCCAAGCGACAAAACTTTAACGGCCGCCCCAAAAGGCGGCAATGTCAGCGACCTTCCCAAAATGGCGTCAACACCCTCCCAGCCCACAGCCGGCACCGCCCCACTTCCGCCCCTGGGGCCGCCCCGCAGCGGAAATGGCGGCGCGGGGCTGAGCCCGTCCCTTTCCGGCCCCTCACGCCGCAGCCGCCATGCCTGTGAGTGCGGCCCGACCCTGGCCGGGCTCCGCCGCCGCCGCGGCCGCCGCGGGGCCGCTCCCGGCGGGACCAACGAGGAGCGGGAGGGCGCGGGGAAGGCGCAGGGGGGGCGGCGGGGCCGGGGGCGCGCGGGGCGCTGGGGGCGAGGCGCGCGAAGGGGGGAGCTCCAAGATGGCGGCAGCGGCGTGAGGGGACGGAGGGGGGGAGCGGGAGCGATGGCGGTGGCCCCAGGACTGACCCACCGCCGTGTCCCCGCAGCTCGCCAAGGACCTGTTGCACCCGTCTCCCGAGGAGGAGAAGCGCAAGCACAAGAAGAAGCGGCTGGTGCAGAGCCCCAACTCCTACTTCATGGACGTCAAGTGCCCCGGTGGGCACCGAGGGCCTTCCAGGGTCCCTCCCCGTGTCCCTCCGCGTGTCCCGCTGCTGTCCCCGCTCTCTCGTTGCCCTTCCCTGTGTTCCTTTCCACGTGTTTGTTTCCCCATCTCCCGCCGTCTCTTCGTGTCCTTCCCCGTTTCCCACCGGGCTCTTCCTCCGTGTTTGTGTCGGGCTCTCCCTCCGTGTCCCTCCACGTGTCGCGGTGTCCCTGCGTGTCCCCCCGGTGCCCTCCGCGTTCCGGGGTCCCCCTGCCCGTGTCCCCGCCGTGACCCCGCTGTCCCCGCAGGCTGTTACAAGATCACCACCGTGTTCAGCCATGCCCAGACCGTGGTGCTCTGCGTGGGCTGCTCCACGGTGCTGTGCCAGCCCACGGGGGGCAAGGCCCGGCTCACCGAGGGTGGGTATCCCGCTGGAGCTTTGGGAATCCCGGCGTGGGGGATGGAGGGATCCGGGGCTGCTCCACGGGGAGGTTGTGGAGGGATTGGAACCCTGGGAGGGGCTGGATCCTGCTGGGGATGGGGGGATTTGGGACCCCTGGGGGGCTGATTCCCCCCTCGGTAGAGTTTTGGAATTCTGGGGGGGTTGGAATGCCGGGGCGGGGTTTGGAATTCTGGCTGTTTCGGGAGCTTTCAGCTACAGAGCCCCCCAAAATCCGGGCTGGGAGACGTGGGATGCCCATTCCCAGAGGGATTCGGGGGCCGTGCAGCGTTGCCAGGTTGTGTTTGCCCCCCCAGGCTGCTCGTTCCGGCGGAAGCAGCACTGAGCCAGCCGGGATGCCACGGAGACAGACGGGAATTCCGCCCGCTCCCCGCAGCCCCCTCCGCTTCCCACCAATAAATTTTGGATAAAACACCCAAAACGGGCCAGTTCTGGTTCTTGGCTGGGCGTTCGGGGGTGTGGGGAGGGAATTTCATCCCGGGAGGGGCTGGAGTGGGTTAAGGCTGAGGGGAGGTGTCCCTGCCATCCCTTCCCAAACCTTTCCATGATTCCCAAAGAATCCAAGTGCGGGTGGTGCCACCGCCACGCTGGGGTGGGACAAATCTCCTTCCTGTCCTTGTGGGGCTGCTCCAGCTGGCCTCAGTTGGGAATTCCACGTGGATAAACCTTTTTTGTCTGTGGTTTGACTGGAAGAACTGGGAATATCCGTGTGTCCTCCTCCCCACAGTGCCCTGATCCTCTTCCCATCCCTCTTTTCCCATCTGAAGGGGAATAACCGGGATGTTTTCCCCAGATCTGGGGGGGCTCAGCTCTCCCCATTCCCCCCTGGAGCTCCCAAAATGCCCCCTGAGCCGTGACCCCCCTCTCACCCCGGATTTTTGGGGTGCTGGAAGGACGAGCCCCCCTCCCCGCCCCGCTGCCCCCTCAGATCCGAACTGAAATCGAAATCGGGACTTTCGGTTCCTCATTCCCTCATTTCCTGGCTCGTGATTTCTCCCCACGCCGCCGCTGCCCCGCGCCCCAAATCCCGGCGTGCCGGCACCGGGAACGCCCCGGATCCCAGCCCGGACCCCTCCCCAGCCCCCTCCCCAGCGCCGCGGGCCGGAGCCACCCCAGGGAATTTTGGAGGTAATTTGGGCGGCTTTGATGTGTCAATCCCCGCCCCAGGAGCGCTTGGAGGAAGTCAAACTCCGAGACAAGTGGATTTATGAGGGTTTGGGGTCTGTTTTATCCCGGGTCTCCACCTGGATGGTGGGATTGTCGGTGCATCCCATCCTGGAGGGCAGCGGTTGGGTAAAACCAGGGAATTTGGGGATTTTTTTTGGGCATGGATTTGTCCCGGCAGCTTCCAGGCTGGCTCAGATGTGTCCTGGCCTGTCCTCACGGACACGGGGCTGGCTCCCGGATTCTCCCCTGCAGGGAATTTTGGGATGCGTGTCCGGGCGGGCCGGTGGCACCACCAGGTCACCGGGGTGTTGTCACCTCCCTGCCCAGACCGGATTTGTCACCGAGGGGTCAATCCAGGATCCGAGCCCTCGGCTCCTGCTCAGAATCCCGGGATGGAGCCGCTGGCTCCCGCCGCCCTCCTGGCCCTGCTGGTGCTGGCACTGGGACACCCCGACCCCGCGCTGGACCGGCACTGGGAGCTCTGGAAAAAATCCTACGGCAAGGAATATCATCCCCAGGTGGGAATGTGACAGGGTGGGGAGCTGGGGGTGTCCCAGGAGTGTCCTGGGAATATCCCAGGATTTTCTGGGGCTTTCCTGGGGGGTGACCACCCGTGGGAGAAGATCTGATGGCGCTTCTGAGCCAGGGATGAGCCAGCTGGGGCCTTTACTGGGATGAACTGGGCTGGGATGGCTCTGGAGGGGCCGTCCCGGCTCTCACAGGGCCCTGCTGGAATTCCAGGAGGATTTTCTCCGCCGCCTGACGTGGGAGAAGAACCTGTGGCTGGTGACCCTGCACAACCTGGAGCACTCCCTGGGGCTCCGCTCCTACATGCTGGGGATGAACCACCTGGGGGACATGGTGGGTGCTGGGAGCGGTTCCAACCCTCTGGAATTGCCCTGGAGGGTGACTGAACTGGGATTTCGGTGGGTCCGGGGTGGGAAAACTCCCAACATCCCCCTCAGCCCATCCTGGTGGGATCCAGCAGCCAGGGACAGGCTGCTCTGGAATTCCGTGAGGAAAGAACTCCTTGGGGTGGAATTTGGGGCACACTGGAATTTGGGAGCTGTCCTGGTCATTTGGGATATTTATCTTCTGTATCCCAAATTTGGGGGGAGTTTATGACCCGGTTTCCAGGGATTTGGGCAGCTAGAGCTGAGCTTTTCCTTTTCTGATGAAAACCTGGAAATTAAACGGAAAAACAAGGAGTTGAAGATCCCCCACAGCCACTTCCACCTCAGAATTCCCACTTAGACACCCTCAGCTGGGGCTGACAGACAGCAGGAATCACCCGCTGGGATTTTCCTCCCCACCAGACCAGCGAGGAGGTGGCGGCTTCGCTGACGCGGCTCCAGATCCGTCCTCGTCCCCGTCGGAATTCTGCATTCCCGGCCCAATTCCGGCCGCTCGGTGACATCCCCGAGGAGCTGGACTGGCGGGACAAGGGCTGCGTGACCGAGGTGAAGAACCAGGTGAGCCTCGCCCCCGCCAGCCTCCCGCTGCTCCCCGGGGCAGCTCCCGAGCCTCTCCCGCCTTCTTCCCAGGGCGCCTGCGGATCCTGCTGGGCCTTCAGCGCCGTGGGAGCGCTGGAAGCGCAGGTGAAGCTGAAAACCGGGAATTTGGTGTCCCTGAGCGCCCAGAACCTGGTGGATTGCTCCGGGATGTACGGGAACAAGGGCTGCGCCGGGGGGTTCATGACGGAGGCGTTCCAGTACATCATCGACAACGGCGGCATCGAGTCCGAGGAGTCCTATCCCTACACGGCTCAGGTGGGCCTGGGAAAACCTCTTTTCCAGGAAAACGCATGGAAACCTCACCCTGTTCCTGTTTTCCTCCCTCCTCTCCCATCCAATTCCCCCTTGCGCCCGTTTCCTGGTGGCACCTCAGGATCCAAACCCATCACAGGAACCTTGGGATTTTTTGGAGGGGAGTGACTGGACCAGGAGCTGGAATTCCTACCTGGTTATTTCAACATTTCTTGAGCAACGAGCTGGAGGGGAGGGAAAAATGGGTCAGGAGCCTCCTGAAAACACGATCCCAGGAAATGGGTCAGAGCAACAACAGCTCAATCCAAGAAAAAGTGGGATTTAACTCTCCAAACATGGAGCTACAGAGGGAAAAGCTGTACCCGGGGTCTGGAGGGAATGAGAAGCATCTGTGGATAGGGAGGATGAGGATGGAGGCTTGTGCTGGATTTAGTTGGGATTGGGAATGGGAACCAACCCCCGGATAGGGTTGGAGTGATGTTTTTGAGAGAAAAGGGTGGAGAATCCAGTGGGAAACAAACCAAGGACAGGGAAGGCAGGGCTGGAGGGGCTCGGACGGGGGTCTGGGGGTCTGGGAACACTCCAGATCCCATTGGCTCATTCCCATTTCCTGGCTGGTTCCCGTTTCTTGGCTCATTCCCATTCCTTGGCTCATTCCCGTTTCCCGCCTCATTCCCATTTCCCATTTAATTCCCGTTTCCTGCTCGTTCCCGTTTCCCGTCTCATTCCCATTCCTTGGCTCATTCCCGTTTCCCGCCTCATTCCCATTTCCCATCTCATTCCCATTCCTTGGCTCATTCCCATTCCTTGGCTCATTCCCATTCCTTGGCTCATTCCCGTTTCCCATCTCATTCCCATTTCCCCAATTGTTCCCATTTCCCACCTCATTCCCGTTTCCCATCTCATTCCCATTTCCTGTCTCATTCCCATTTCCTGTCTCATTCCCATTTCCTGTCTCATTCCCGTTTCCCGTCTCATTCCCATTCCTTGGCTCATTCCCGTTTCCCATCTCATTCCCGTTTCCCATCTCATTCCCTTTTCCCATCTCGTTCCCATTCCTTGGCTCATTCCCGTTTCCCGTCTCGTTCCCGTTTCCCGGCAGAACGGGACGTGCCACTACAACGCCTCCGCCCGCGCCGCCTCCTGCTCCCGGTTCCTGGAGCTGCCCGAGGGCGACGAGGCCGCGCTCAGGGACGCCGTGGCCACCGTGGGCCCCGTGGCCGTGGCCATCGACGCCACCCGGCCCAGCTTCTTCCTGTACCGCTCCGGTGAGGGCGCGGGATTGGGCGGAATTCAGGAATTCGGGGGTTAATTCCTGGAGGGAGGCTGGGATCGGTTGGAATTCCGGGATTTTTCCCTCCCCAGGGGTGTTTGATGACCCCCAGTGCTCGCAGGAGGTGAACCACGGCGTGCTGGTGGTGGGATACGGCTCCCTGGAAAACAAGGAATACTGGCTGGTGAAGAACAGGTAAAACCCTGGGCATCCACAGGGAATTCTGGAACATTCCCGGCTGGAGGGGACCCACAAGGATCAGAGTCCAACTCCCAGCCCTGGACACCCCCAAACTCCCACCTTGTCCCTCAGGGCCTTGTCCAGGTCCTTCTTGGCCCGTGGGAAGGTTGGAACAATGATCCATAAGATCCATTCCAACCCAACCCGCTCCATAATCCCACGATTTTGTGTTTGGAGCTGCCCAAATCCGTGTGGATGCGACACTCGGGGACACATTCCCGCGGTGGCTTCCTCAGCCTCGGGAACAGTTGGACTTTGTGGTTTCTGAGGACTTTTCCAACCCGAATGGCTCCGTGAATCCCAGGATTCTGGCACCTTCTCCTTTAGAAACGAGCACCGCCGACCGGCGGCCGCGTACAAATTCCCGGCGGGAACAGGACCGCTAGGAACGTGCCTTTTGCATCTCTCCCAAAACGCCCTGATTTTAAAAATCCCCACAACGAGGGGTTTTCCCTGTGTCCTCTCCCTGTTCCCAAAGCTGGGGCGTGCACTTCGGAGACGCGGGGTACATCCGCATGGCCCGCAACGCCTCCAACCTCTGCGGCATCGCCAGCTACGCCTCCTACCCGCTGATCTAGCCGGACCTGCGCTCCCAACACCGCCCCAGAGCTCCAGATTTCCGTGGATCCCATTCCAGGGGCGCTGGGCACCCTCTGATGGTTGGATCCGAGGGGTGGGAGTGGGAGTGGCGTTGGTGGGCATCCGGGGAATGCTTTTTTTGGTAAGGGGAAATTGGGGGTTTGGGTAAAGTGGTGATTCCTGCAGGGATCAGGTACAGGGATAACAGGGATCGGGTACAGGGGTCACTGGGATCATTGGGGTCACAGGGATCACTGGGATCACTGGGATTGGGTACCAGGACCACAGGGATCATTGGGATCAAGTATCAGCACCACAGGGGTCATTGGGATCACTGGGATCACTGGGATTGGGTGCCAGGATCACTGGGATCACAGGGATCATTGGAATCATGTACAGGGATCACAGGGATCATTGGGATCGTGTTTCAGGATCACTGGGATCACTGGGGTCATTGGGGTCACAGGGATCATTGGGATCAGGTACAAGGATCACTGGGATTGAGTGCCAGGATCACTGGGATCACAGGGATCATTGGAATCATGTACAGGGATCACAGGGATCATTGAGATCCTTGGGGTCAGGTACTGGGATCACGGGGATCATTTGGGTCAGTGGGATCAGGTGTCAGTTCACAAGGATCACAGAGATCATTGGGATTGGGTGCCAGGATCACTGGGATCATTGGGATCAGGTACAGGGATCCTTGGGATCACTGGGATCATTGGGATTGGGTACTAGGATCACTGAGATCACTGGAATCATGTACAGGGATCATTGGGGTCATTGGGATCGTGTGTCAGATCACTGGGATCACAGGGATCATTGGAATCATGTACAGGGATCACAGGGATCATTGAGATCCTTGGGGTCAGGTACTGGGATCACGGGGATCATTTGGGTCAGTGGGATCAGGTGTCAGTTCACAAGGATCACAGAGATCATTGGGATTGGGTGCCAGGATCACAGGGATCATTGGGATCAGGTACTGGGATCACAGGGATCGTGGATTCCTCCCTCCGGAGCTGCTGGAATTGCAGATATTCCATGGAAAATAAAAGATTGCATTTTGCTGCCTCAAAACTCTGATATTTGGATGCAAATATTTGGAGATAATACCCCCCCCCCCCCCCCCCAAAAAAAAATCCAATATTTTGGGTGGCTCCCTCACCCCACAGCCAAGAATTCCGTCTGGGTGGATGGAGATCCCGAGGGAACAGTGTCCCTTTGTCCCTAAACAACGTCCCCGGGGCTGGAATTCCTCACCCCCGGATCCCACCCCTCCCTTGCCGGTGGGATCCGAGCTGCCGGGAGGATCGGAGCGCAGGGAATCTCACCGGGATGAGGGGTAAGGATGATCCCAGCGGGATCTGCTGCCACTCCCGTGGGATTTCGAGCTGGGAAAAGGTCGAGGGTGGCTCAATCCCGGCAGCTGGATCGGGATTCAGGGCAGGTTTTGTTGGGAAAAGGAGCTGTCCCTGTTGTATCCCAAATCCTGGCGCCACCGGGAATGTTGCTCCTGGATTTCGGGCAGGGTGAGACCCCCCCCTGGTGAGGAGGAGCCAGTTCCAGAATCCCCCCGGAAATCATGGAATGATTCAGGTTGGAAAAGACCTCGGGGAAAGATTCCACCTGGAATATTTCTGGCGTTTTGGGGGTCTCGGCGCCTCGGAAGGAATTTTTGTGCCCCAATGGAATCACGGCTTGGCTTGGCAAGGACCCAACGACCCCATTCCCGCCTCCATCCAGGAATTTAAGCCCCAATTTCCCAAATTCCACCCTAATCCCAAAGGTTTCTGCCCACAAGCACCGCGGGGAGATCTCGGGGGCGGACCAGGAAACGCGGGGCCAAAATTTAACCCCAAAAAAACCTGGCAAAACTCTCATTCCCTGCCTTGGGGGAAAAAAAATAAATACATAAATCCCCGGAAAAGAGAATTCCCGACAAAAATCCCTGGAAAAGCTCGGGGAGCGGGCAGGGCTCGGGTCCCGGGAGGTGTCACCTCCTGGCACCTCCCGAATCCCGCACAAAGGTCCCCGTTCCGCCCGTTTGTTTAAACAAACACACTCCCGGCGGGACAAATCCCCGGGAATACCCAGAGGGAGACGGAACCGGAGGCCGTTTGGCTCCGGAGAGGCAGAATTTGGGAATTTTCTGGGGTTTCTGCCGGCGGGACCCCCCGGCCGAGGCGGCTTGGGCGCTCCCGGAGCTTTTTCCAAGCTGCCGGATATTCCCGGTAGGTGGGAATCGCTTCCCTGCCCCCGGGGGTGCTGAGGGCCCGCAGGTGCCTCCTCCGGAGCGGGATGGAGCCGATCCAGCCGGGATTGACCCGTTCCGTGCCGGTTTTTTCCCAGGAGATGAAATCCCGCCCGGTGCTGGCGGTGCCCGAGGTGCGTGACCCGTCTGGAACAGGGACAAGGTGGGGATGTGGGGGCAGCCCCGTGAATTCGGGGTTCAGCCCTCGTGGATGTGGGGTTCAGCCGGCAGCGAGTTGGAAAATTGGGAATATTCCGTGGGGGAGGGAGAAGGAATTCTTGCCTTTGGGGCAGGGAAACTGAGGCACGGAGTCAGCCCCGCCCTGCCCTGCGGTGTTTTGGGGGTGCCCAGCTGAATGATCCAGAAATCCCTTGGGAAGGGGAGGCAGGAAGGGGCTGTTTGACCCCCGAGGGGGACGCGGGGGCTGTTCCCGATCCCTGAAAAACGCCGGGAAAGGGAATGGGGGTGCCGAGGGCTGTGGGGGGAGGAAGAGGGAGCGGTTCCGGATTTGGGGAATGGGAGCGGCACCCCCGGCTCTGCGGGAAAAGGGTTAACAGGGAGAAGGATCTGCTCGGCCGAGTGGTTCCTGGTTTGTTTGGAGTGCGGGAGAGAAGGGGGAGGGGGCGCGGGGCTGCGACCCCGGCGCTCAGGAATTGGGAATTTCCGCCTGGAACGGAGCTCACCCCCACCCACGGCCACCCGCAGGTAGGTCCGGTGTGACCCGGGGTGACCCGGGGTGACCTGGGGACGTCACGACCCCCCCCGAGCCCCCCCTGAGCCCCCCGGCCCCGCTGTCACCTCTGAGACCACCCCAGGGCCAGCAGCGCTGCCACCCCCGGGGTCCCCCCGGGTCCCCCCGAGGTCACGGCCCTCGAGCCGCTCCCTCGTCCCTCCAACACCCCCGGGACGGGGATGCCCCGCCGACGATCCCGGGAAACACCGGGACCCCCCCTCCATTCCGCGTCACCCCCGCCCCGAACCCCTCCGTGATTCCCGGGATTGTCCCGAACCCCCCCGGGATTGTCCCGAACCCCTCCGGGAGTCCCGGGATGGTCCCGAACCCCCCCGGGAATCCCGGGATTGTCCCGAACCCCTCCGGGAATCCCGGGATGGTCCCGAACCCCTCCGGGAATGCCGGAATTCCAGCGGAGTCGCTGGGAAGGGCGGGATGGATCCCCACGGTTCCCTCCCCCGGGACCGGGGACACCCCAGGGATGAGTCTGGGAGCAGCTCCCGAAATTCCCGGCCCGCCGTTGTCCCGCTGTTCCCGCATCCCGTCCGGGATCCAACCCGGCCGCTCTCCACCAACTTTTCGGGGCTGTCCCCAGGATCGGGATTTGGGGAAGTTGATGTCCCCAGGATCAGGATTTGGGGGAATTGTCCCCAGGATCGGGATTTGGGGGAGCTGCTGCAGGATTTCCCTTTCCCTTTCCCTTCTCCGGAGCTTGGATTTGCATCCTGAGATTCCCAGCAGGCTCTGGGAAGCTCCCGGTTGCTTTTCTGCACCTGGATGAGCCGGGGAACCTCAAAATTTGGGGGGGCCTGATGGGTTTTTGGGAAGAGCCGTGCCTGTGGTTTTCCCCTGGAGCGATGGCCACGCTCCTCTCCTCATTTTTTTTGATGATTCCATGTTTTTTATTCCACGTTTGTGGCCGATCCCCGGCAGATCCACAAAGGAAAGAAGTTTTTTTTTTTTTTTTTTTTTTTTAATTAAATCAGCTGACCGGGCTGGGAATGTAAAAACAGGAAAACGGCTGAGCTCATCCCAGCTCATCCCAGCTCATCCCAGTCCTGTCCCTGTCCCCTGCGGGGTGAGTCTGCCCGGGGCTGGGGCAGGAGGTGCCAGCCTGGGAATGGTGCTGGGATTTGGGGATTGTGACACCGGGCTGGGGCAGGGGACAGGGGGCATCCTGGAGCTCAGGAGGGGATCCAGGAGGGGATCCAGGAGGGATCCCGAGGCCCCCAGGGGATCCCAGCAGGAGCAGCCAGCTCGGGATGCTCAGGGGGTGTCGGGGTTCAGGGGGGGATGTTGGGGTTCTCAGAGGATGTGGGATTTTGGGAGGGGTGTTGGGATTCCCAGGGGTTTCCCGGTCTTGTGTGGCCTTTTAGGGAGCCATGGCCAGGCTGAAATCCCCCAGATCCCACCCCAAAACCCACTCAGATCCTACCCCAAAACCCGCTCAGATCCCACCCCAAAACCCGCTCAGATCCCATCCCAAAACCCGCTCAGATCCCATCCCAAAACCCGCTCAGATCCCATCCCAAAACCCGCTCAGATCCCACCCCAAAACCCCTTCAGATCCCATCTCAGATCCCATCTCAGATCCCACCCCAAACCTCGCTGCGTTCCCATCCCACAGCCTCTCCCAGCCCCATCCCAAATCCACTCCAGGCCCCATCCTGGATATCCCGGTCCCCCTAAAACCCCCTGGATCCCTCTCCCCCCTCCGGGGGGTTCATCCCTCCCCTCAGGAGGTGGGAATTTGGAGGCTCGAATGAGCTGCACCCTTGTGGGGTCCCCTGGGGTGGGGGGTCCCATTCCCAGTCCCAGTCCCATTCCTGTTCCCTCTCCCATTGCTAATCCATTTCCTATTCCCATTCCCTTTCCCATTCCCCTTTCTCATTCTCAATCCTAATCTCTTTCCCATTCCCATTCCCAATCCCTTTCCCCCTCCCATTCCCGTTCCCATTCCCATTCCCTCTCCCGTTCCCATTCCCATTCCCCTTTCCCATTCCCTTTCCTGTTCCTTTCCTGTTCCCTCTCCCATTTCCCTTTCCCCCTCCCACCCCCATTCCCTTTCCCATTCCCGTTCCCATTCCCATTCCCATTCCCATTCCCATTCCCATTCCCGTTCCCATTCCCATTCCCATTCCTTCTCCCATTCCCATTCCCATCCCATTCCCTCTCCCTTTCCCGTTCCCGTTCCCGTTCCCAGCCGCTCTCCTCCCTCCCGAATTCCTGCCGGTTTAATCAGTAACCCGGAGAGCTCACGCTCCCACCGGGGCGGTTTTGGAGCCCCGCGGCCCCCCCGGGGGCGTTGGGGACCCTCCAGCGCCGCGGGGACACGGCCGGGCACGGGCACGGGAACGTCCCCCCTGCTCCGGCCTGGGGGGGACAGGGCTCAGCTGAGACCCCCCAAAATCACCTCAGGGCCGGGCCGGACCCCCCCCCGACCCCTCCACGCCCCCTTCCCGCAGCGTCCGGCCCTGAGCGGCACCGGGAGCCCCCCCGGATCCTGGAGCACCCCGAGATCCTGGATCCCCCCCGGATCCTGGAGCACCCCCAAGTTCTGGAGCCCCCCCAAGTCCTGGAGCACCCCCGGATCCTGGAGCCCCCCCGAGTGACCCCAGAGCCCTGCGGGGGGGTCCCCGCCGACCTCCCGCCCCCGAGGCGCCGCTGCGTGTCCGTCCTGGAGCCCGGCACGGCCTGGGATGAGGAGGAGGAGGAGGAGGAGGAGGAAGGGCGCACCCGCGGGGTGACCCTGCGGAGATCCGGGAGCTCCCTGGATCCTTTCCGCCGGCACAGCTGGGAGCCGGGCAAGGAGCCGCGGGGCATCCCGGGCTACGGGCACCTCAGGTAGGGGGGACCCCCGTGAGCCCCCCCAAATCCAGCGGGCTCGGGGATCCTCTGCACCCCCGAGACCCCAGACCCAAACCGGGATCCATCCCTGCCTCTGTGGGGACACCCCGAATTCCCTGCTCATCCTCGGGACCCACTTTGGGGGTGTCCCCTCCTTGGGGACCCGCTTTGGGGGTGTCCCATCCTCGGGGACCTGCTTTGGGGGTTTCTGCCCTCGGGGACCCACTTTGGGGGTGTCCCATCCTCGGGAGCCGCTTTGGGGGTGTCACCCCATCCTCGGGGAGCTGTTTTGGGGGTGTCCCCTCCTCGGGGTGTTGCTTTGGGAGTGTCCCCCCTCCTCTCGGGACCCACTTTGGGGGTGTCCCATCCTCGGGGATCTGCTTTAGGGGTCTCCCCTCCCCTCAGGGACCCACTTTGGGGATGTCCCTTCCCCTCGGGACCTTTGGGGGTGTCCCCTCCCCTCGGGACCTTTGGGGGTGTCTGTCCCCCAGCTGACAGTCCCGTGTCCCCCCCAGCGGGAGCCCCGAGCTCGGCTGCAGCGCGGAGCAGCTGGGGGGGCTCTGCCGGCCCCGCCGGGACCCCCGGAGAGCCCCCCTGGTGCACAGCAGCGACGAGCTGGACTCGCTGCTCTCGCAGGACGACGAGGATGAGGAGGACGAGGCCGATGTCAGGCGGGCACAGGTGGGACCCTCCTGTCACCTCGGGGTCACCCAGAGCCCACCTGAGCTGGGGGAGGGGACAGGGACCCCGGGGAGGGGACAGGGACCCCGGGGAGGGGACAGGGGACCCCAGGGAGGGGACAGGGGACCCCGGGGAGGGGAGAACTGAGGGAAAGTCGCATCCTGGTGGCTTTGCTGTCCATCCTGGTGGCTTTACCATCCATCCTGGTGGCTTTGCTGTCCATCCTGGGTGGCTTTGTCATCGTCCCGGTGGCTTTGTCGTCACCCTGAGTGGCTTTGTCGTCACCCCGAGTGGCGTTGTCACGGTTTGGGGCGAGGCTGGCATCGCTCTGGGTGGCTTTGCCATCACCCCGGGTGGCTTTGCCATTGTCCTGCTGCTCTGCCATTGCCCGGAGTGGCACTGCAATTGTCCTCAGAGACTTTGTCACCATCTTGAGTGCCTTTGCCACACTCCCGGTGGCTTTGTCATTGTCCTCGTGCCTTTGCCATCCTCCCGGGTGGCTTTGCCATCACCACGAGCGGCCAGGACGCTGTCCCCTGGGAGCAGCTTCCTTTTGGGGACCGATGGCGGGGAGGGAGGGTGGCAGTGCCACTGTCGCTGTCCCCACCGCAGGAGGACGCGCGGAGGCTCCCGGCGCCCCGGGCCGGGCCCCGCTCCCGGGGCTGGTCCCGCTTCAAATCCGCGTCCCTCGGTGTCATCGCCAGCGTCCCCGGTGAGGACGGTGAGTGTCCCCCCCGGGAGGGACCCTGGTGTCCCCTCGGCGCTGTCCCTGCTGTCACCTCTCCGCTAACGACCCAAAATCGATGGCGCTGCCACCGCGGTTAATTACCGCCCCCCCTCCCGCCGCCCCCGGCGGCTCCTCCGGACCTTTTTGAAATTCCTTTTCCCTTTTTTTTCCAGCGGCCGAAATTCCCCCGTTCGCCTCCCAGCAGAGCCTGCTCGGCGGGTGAGTCCCCTCGCTGTCCCCTCGGTGTCCCCCGCGCTGTCCTGTCCCCTCCCCGCGCCTGTCACAGCCCATTGCCGTCCTCATTAGGGCGGCTGCTCCCGGGAATCGTCACACCGGGGGCTGGCCGGGAGCCCCGCGGGGACGGGGACGGGGCTGGGGACAGGGATGGGGACAGGGACGGGGACAGGGACCGGGACACGCTGCCCTGAACGGCCGCGCCACCAAGGACGGGGCTTTCCCCCCTCCGAAAGTGGCTCTGAAGGTGATTTGTCGCCACCCGAGGGCATTTTGTCACCCCCTCGAGGGTGGTTGAACTCCGAGGGTGGCTTGTCCCCCCCCTCAAAATTGGGATTTGTCCCCTCCAAGGGGAATTTGTCCCCCTCAGAGGGGATTTGTCTCCCCCAAAAGGGAATTTGTCCCCTCCAAGAGGAATCTGTCCCCTCCAAGGGAGGTTTGTCCCCTCCAAGGGTGGCTTTTGTCCCCTTCCGAGGATGTCCCCAAGGAACCAAGACCACCCGGGACACTTCGGGGTTGCCCCTCCACACCCGGGACCCCCTCCCCGCTCCCCAAATCGGGGGGGGCAGAGACAGTGGGGGACCCCCGGGAGGGGACAGAGGGGCTGGGAGGGGACAGAGGGGGCTGGGAGGGGACAGAAGGGGTTGGGGAGGGGACAGAGGGGGCTCTGTGGCGGCCCGGCTGGCGGCGGGGAGGGGACACGGACGCTCCTCCCCGTTCCCGGCGGGGACAGAGCGGGATTGTCCGGCGGGATTGTCCGGCGGGATCCTCCTCCCGCAGCGCCGGGAGCCGCGAGCGGCTGGCGGGGGAGGCGGGGACCCCCCCGGGCCGGGAAGGGACCCCCCTGGACAGGACCCTCAGCTTCATCCGCAGGATGACCGGCAAGACAAAGGTACGGGAAAAACGGGAGCGGGGCGGGAGCGGCTGCGCGGGCGCGGCGGGACAACGGAACAACGGGAGAACGGGAATAATGATTTGTCGCCACCCGAGGGCATTTTGTCACCCCCTCGAGGGTGGTTGAACTCCGAGGGTGGCTTGTCCCCCCCCTCAAAATTGGGATTTGTCCCCTCCAAGGGGAATTTGTCCCCCTCAGAGGGGATTTGTCTCCCCCAAAAGGGAATTTGTCCCCTCCGAGAGGAATCTGTCCCCTCCAAGGGAGGTTTGTCCCCTCCAAGGGGGGTTTGTCCCCTCCAAGGGTGGCTTTTGTCCCCTTCCGAGGATGTCCCCAAGGAACCAAGACCACCCGGGACACTTCGGGGTTGCCCCTCCACACCCGGGACCCCCTCCCCGCTCCCCAAATCGGGGGGGGGCAGAGACAGTGGCGGCGGGACAACGGAACAACGGGAGAACGGGAATAACGGGAGAACGGAACAACGGGAATAACGGGAGAACGGAATGACGGGAGAACGGGAATAACAGAACAACGGGAGAACGGGAATAACGGGAGAACGGGAGAACGGAACAAGGGGAGAACGGAACAACGGGAGAACGGGAGAATGGGAACAACGGGAGAACGGGATAGCGGGACAACAGAACAACGGGAGAACCGGATAACAGGAAAAGCGGGAGAACGGAAAAACGGGATAAAGGGAACAACGGGATAACGGGACAACAGAACAACGGGAGAACGGAAAAACGGGAGAACGGGATAACGGGATGGGTTCAGGGACGCTCTGCCGTGCCTCAGTTTCCCGGCTCCGCCGCTCGCTCTTTGGCAGATTTTGGGATGCAAAAGAAAGAAAAACGCGGGCTGTGCTCAGGGAAGGGATCCCGAGCGGATCCTGCCCCCTCCCCCCCCCCCCCCCCGCCCATCCCGGCCTCTCCTGCGTCCATCCCTTCCTCGGGAATGTTTTCCTCCTGCCACTCCCCCTGCCGTGCCTCAGTTTCCCCTCTCCCGCCTGTTCCTGAGGCGCTTTGATGACTCGTGGTGGGGGGTGAGGGTTCCCCCCTTTCCACACCCCCGTTTCGGGTGGGGAAACTGAGGCACGAGGGCACAGAGCAGCCGGCGGTGGCTTTGTCCCCCAGCCCGGTTTTGGGTGGGGGGGGACAAACCCCGCTGGGCCCCCCCCGGGCGGCCCCGATTTGCCGCCATGCGGAGCCGTTAATCCCTGCCCTCCTCCTCCTCCTCCTCCTCCTCCTCCTCTTCCCGCCGGATCAGCCGCCAGCTGTTCCCCCGCCCATCCCGGCCTCTCCTGCGTCCATCCCTTCCTCGGGAATGTTTTCCTCCTGCCCCTCCCCCTGCCGTGCCTCAGTTTCCCCTCTCCCGCCTGTTCCTGAGGCGCTTTGATGACTCGTGGTGGGGGGTGAGGGTTCCCCCCTTTCCACACCCCCGTTTCGGGTGGGGAAACTGAGGCACGAGGGCACAGAGCAGCCGGCGGTGGCTTTGTCCCCCAGCCCGGTTTTGGGTGGGGGGGGACAAACCCCGCTGGGCCCCCCCCGGGCGGCCCCGATTTGCCGCCATGCGGAGCCGTTAATCCCCCCTGCCCTCCTCCTCCTCCTCCTCCTCCTCTTCCCGCCGGATCAGCCGCCAGCTGTTCCCATCTGGGGGGGCCCCGCGCCCCCTCCCCGGCTCCAAATCCCGCCTGGAGGCGCCGCGGGATCCGGAACCGCCCGGCGGGACGGCTCCAGCCTCGCCCCAGCAGCGCAGCGGGGCCGAGCTCCGGCCTTCCTCGGGATGTTTATTCCCATTATTTCATGATTTGTTTGGGATTTTGGAGGGAAAAGGCGCCTGGAAGTCGGGGTGAGCTGGGGAGGGGGCTCCGGCTCCGTGTCGGGATGGGGATGGGGGCGGCGAGGGGGTCGGTCCCGGCTGGAACAGCGGGATATCAGGAAAAATTCTTCCCAAAACGGAGAAAAAAAAATAATAATCCTGCAAGGGGGGGCTCCTTTGGGGTGGGAACGGCCCCTCCCGGGGTCCGGGGGGGCTGCAGAGCCCCCAGACCCGCTCCCGGTGAGTGCTGCGGTGACTCCGGGCGTCTCCTGTCACCGGACCCCCGCCCCGTTTTTCCCTCGCTCCGGCGTTTTCACGGCTCAGCCGCCGCTCCCCCTCGGTCCCCCCGAGTTTCCTCCGGTGGTTTTTGGGTGTTTTGGGGTAAATTCGGGGAGGGGGAGGAGAAGCGAGTCCCGGGTGTGTCCGGGAGGAAACGAGGATCGGGAATGGGGGAGAGAGGGGGGGGGACCCCGAGCGCGGCCTCCCCCCGCCCCCCCCGAGGCTTTCATTCCGCTTTGCTGACCAGGAGTTAATTAAAACCCGCAGTTTAATTAAAATCCAGCCTTGGCAGGCCGGGAAGGAGCCGGGAATGAGTCGGGAATGAGTTGGGAATGAGGTGGGAATGAGTCAGGAGCGAGGCCCGGCCGCTTCCGTGGATCTGCCCCCAAGGCTCAGGGGATGTTTTCTGCATCCCAAGGATTTTTTTTTCTCCTGGATCCCAGGAATCTTTTCCTAAATCCCAGAGATGTTTTCCTGAATCCCAGAGATGTTTTCCTGGATCCCAGAGATGTTTTCCTGGATCCCAGAGATGTTTTCCTGGATCCCAGAGATGTTTCCTTGGATCCCAGGGATGTTTTCCTGCATCCTGGGGATATTTTCCTGGATCCCAGGGATGTTTTCCTGCATCCCAGGAACATTTTCCTGGATCCCAGGAACGTTTTCCTGGATCCCAGGGATGTTTTCCTGCATCCCAGGAACATTTTCCTGCATCCCAGGAACGTTTTCCTGCATCCCAGGAACGTTTTCCTGGATCCCAGGGATGTTTTCCTGCATCCCAGGAACATTTTCCTGCATCCCAGGAACGTTTTCCTGGATCCCAGTGATGTTTTCCTGCATCCCAAGGATGTTTTCCTGCATCCCAGGGATGTTTTCCCGGGAATGGCCATCCCACCCTCCCTACGGTTCATCCCTCCCTCTCCCAGGAGATTTTTGGGGCCGTTCCCGTCCCTCGGCCGCTGTTTTTTTCCACGGGGAAACTGAGGCAGGCGGGAGCGGCGCCACCTCTGCCTGGCACCGCTGCCTTTTCCTGGCTATTCATTAATCCCTCGGTGTCCCCTCGGTGTCCCCCTGCTGGGAGATGCGGGACAAAAGGACATTTAACTCTTTGCGCGCCGGACCTGCGGGGGGGGTGCCTTTGTCCCCTGGTGACACTTGGGGATTTTGGGGTCCCCAAAAAGCCGCAGCCGGGATCGGGAGCGTTATCTCAGCCCGGGAGTGGGACCGATGCCACAAATCCTGGCTTATCTCGGGGGAGTTAATGTTCAACCAGGCGGCTCCCGCTGCCAGGGCCTCTCCCAAGCTGCTGATATGGGGGAAAAAGCAACATTTTCCCCCAAAATTACACTTTTATCCCAGATTTCCATCCCCAGGGAAGGGCTCTCCCAGCCTGGGTTTGCTGCAGGTGGGAGAGAAAAGGCCCAAAATGGAGGAGAGCAGGGTTGGGATTGTGTCACCCCAAAAAGGAGCTTTGGGGTGTGCAGGGCTTGGGGAGGGCTGGAATTCCATGGGATTCGCTGCTTCCTTTGGGATTCCAGTCCTGGAGCTGCGCTGGGGTGGGAGGGGGTGTTCCCAAAGGTCGGGGCTTTCCAGGGAGTGTGTGAGGGGGGAAACTGAGGCACGGAGAGGAAGGGCTGGACTCGGGGCCGCATCCGGGCTGCCGGGGCCGGAGCAGGGGGGGCTCCGAGGGGCGATCCGAGGGAGGCTGGGGAGGGTCCGAGCTGATTCCAGGGACTGATCCCGAGGGAGGCTGGGGAGGGTCCGAGCTGATCCCAGGGATTGATCCCGAGGGAGGCTGGGGAGGGTCCGAGCTGATCCCAGGGATTGATCCCGAGGGAGGCTGGGGAGGGTCCGAGCTGATTCCAGGGAGTGATCCCAAGGGAAGCTGGGGATGATCCGAGGTGATCCCAGGGATGGATTCTAAAGGATGCAGGATGGTGATCCGGGATGAACCCAGGGACCAATCCCGAGGGATGCTGGGCTGTGATCTGGGATCTGCAGGGGCTGATCCCGAGGGATGCTGGGCA